GCTCGGGGCGGCTCGGGGAGGCTCGGGGAGGATGCAGGAGCAGGGGCTTTGCTTCTTCTTCGTGTTTGTCCCCCGGAGCCTCCGTGCAAGAACCCTGTGCCCCGGCCACGCTTGGCGACTCGCCTAAAGGGCCGCGGGGCCTTGCAGGTCTCCGGAGTAAGTAAAGCAAGATGTACAGTCACCGACATTTCCCAACTCTGAAACGTGAGACTAATGGCAAATTCTGAAACACACTGCCTTGTAGTCTTTTTTTAAAAAAAATATGCTTGTATTGGTTTTAGAGAGAGAGGAAGAGAGGAAGAAAGAGAGAGAAACATCGATTGGTTGCCTCCCATACGGAGCCCAACTGGGGGTGGAACCCACATCTAGGGCCCATGTACCAACTGGGAGTCGAACTGGCGGCGGTGACCTTCTGATGGACAGGATGGTGCCCAACCCACTGAGCCACATTGGGGGATGGAACCCACATCTAGGGCCCATGTACCAACCGGGAGTTGAACCGGCGGCAGCGACCTTCTCATGGACAGGATGATGCCCAACCCACTGAGCGACATTGGCCAAGGCTACTGACATCATTTCTACTGACATTTAAGTGTATGAGATCTCCTTGCTGGTGGGCGACCAAAAGTCCAGGTCACGGCCAGGGTGGCTCAGTGGTTGAGCATCAACCCATCAACCAGGAGGTCAGAGTTGGATTCCCGATCAGGCACAAGCCCAGGTTTTGGACTCGATTCTCCAGTAGGGGGCATGCAGGAGGCAGTCGATCAATGATTTTCATCATTAATGCTTCTATCGCTCTCTCCCTCTTCCTTCCTCTTTCTGAAATCAGGGAGTGACGGAAGGCGGGAGGGTTAATCGGGGGGGAAAAAAGAAACATGTAAGAGAGACATTGCCCTACCGGTGTGACTCAGTGGTTGAGCTTTGACCTGTGAACCAGGAGGTCACAGTTCGATTCCCATTCAGGGCACATGCCTGGTGTGGAGTATGCAGGAGGCAGCCAATCCATGATCCTCTCTCATCATTGATGTTTCTATCTGTCTCTCCCTCTCCCTTCCTCTCTAAAATCAATAAAAAAATATATTTTAAAAAAATAAGGAACAAAAATAAAATAAAATGAGGCCCCCAACTACACTGTTTCAAGCCCCCACCCCCACCCCCTGGCTCCACCCATTGGCTGTATGGCTTTTTGGCAAGTGCCTCAACACATCTGTGCCTCAGTTCCCCCATCTGCAAACTGAGGAGTCCTGCTTGGGACCCCTGGGTAAGACTCCGCGCGCCCACCCTCTGATGCCAAGGGAGGGTCTGTGGGCGGTTAACGAGCTTTCTGATGGTGGAACAGAGTTCCAACACCAGGCGAAAGCAGACGCCATGTGTCCGAGGGCCAGTCCTGGTTCTTGGGGCTCTTGTCTCTCATTATTCAGCTGCTCCCCATTTTCTTCCTCGTGGCTGTCGATGGAGACACCCTTTCCCCTCCGCTCATTACTATTCTTGCCCGAGGCTCCAGCCCCCGTACAGCCCATAATACACACATGATTGAACCTTCTGGGCTAATGAATATGGATGCACACAAGTCGGGACCTCGTTCACCACGGGGCCATCCCGTCCCAAAGGGCCCCCTTGTGACCAGTCACTCAAAACGTCCCCCCGGGGCTATAGCTCATCCTTCAGATAGGCCGGGGCCGCGCGGGAGGGCCACCCACAGACAGCCCAGAGGTCGTGGGAGCAGGACCCAAACGCGGGCCAAGAAGGACGCTCTCACAGGTACAACTCAACGAGAAACCTGGGGGTGGGTGAGAAGCCAGGCCTGCGCCCCCACAGCAAGGAAGGGGGGTCTGGGGCAGCCTGTCCACTGGGGAAATGTCCCGGGAGCCACCTGGGCCAATGGGCGGTTTCTAGGAGCCACCTCCTTTTTAGAAAGTCATTGGAACAAGAGCTATTTATTTTTATTTTTTTTTAACTAAGGATACGTTGCTATCTTTCTTTTTAAATATATTTTTATTGATTTCAGAGAGGAAGGGAGAGAGAGATAGAAACATCCATGATGAGAGAGAATCACTGATCGGCTGCCTCATGCACACCCCCACACTGGGGATGGAGCCCATAACCAGGGCCTATGCCCTTGACCGGGAATCGAACCAGCGACCCCTTGGTTCCTGGGTCGACGCTCAGCTGCTGAGCCACACCCGGCTGGGCAGGTGCCATTTATTTCAATGGCATGTGTTGGTGAATCGTGGTATCCAACATCGGACCGTTTCAACATGCAATCGACACAGAAAATGGTGGAGGTGTTTACCTTCTTTTTCCACACTCGATCTTCAGAACCCAATGCGTGTCTTACACCTGTTTCACGCAAATGGCAGCTAGAGCTCAAGTTTTAGGGCAGTGGTTCTCAACCTGTGGGTCACGAACTGGGGACCAAGCCCATAACCAGGGCCTATGCCCTTGACCAGGAATCGAACCAGCGACCCCTTGGTTCCTGGGTCGACGCTCAGCTGCTGAGCCACACCCGGCTGGGCAGGTGCCATTTATTTCAATAACATGTGTTGGTGAATCGTGGTACCCCACATCGGACCGTTTCAACATGCAATTGACACAGAAAATGGTGGAGATGTTTACCTTCTTTTTTCACACTCGATCTTCAGGACCCAATGCGTGTCTTACACCTGTTTTACGCAAATGGCAGCTAGAGCTCAGGTCTTAGGGCCCGGAGAGTCCCAAGGCTGGCGGCTGTCAGGGCGGACAGTGGCCTCCCGAGCTCTGGGAAGGAAGCGGAAAAGGTGGGAAGGTGGCCTGGGGGCAGACTGGGTCCGTTCGCTGCTAAGACACCTGAAGGAGCGGGAGTCTGCCTGCGCCCTAAGTTTGGGGAAAGAGATGGAAGAAAAGGGAACCAGGCTGGACACGTTGCCTGTGAGCATCTTCGAGGTTCTGAGACTTTAGACTCATCCTCTGAGGCAGCAGCCTTCCTTATCTCACGGCACAGAAACTGTTACTAACATTCCGCGGCACACCAAAAAATATATATATATTTCTTTTAGGCTGACCTGGCCAAATAAATAGGTGTTCTGATTCACCGGGGTCGCCTAAGACCATCCTGCATATCAGATATTGACATGACGATACATCACAGTAGCAACATGACAGTGATGAAGTAGCAACGGAAATAATGTTATGGTTGGGTCACCACATGAGGAACTGTATTTAAAGGGCCAGAAGGTTGAGAACCACTGTTTCAGGGCCCGGAGAGCCCCGAGGCTGGCGGCCGTCATGGGGGACACGGGCCTCCCGAGCTCTGGGAAGGAAGCGAGAAGGTCGGAAGGCGGCCGGGGGGCAAGCTGGGTCCGTTCGCTGCTAAGACACCTGAAGGAGCGGGAGTCCGCCTGCGCCCTAAGTTTGGGGAAAGAGATGGAAGAAAAGGGAACCAGGCTGGACACGTTGCCTGTGAGCATCTTCGAGGTTCTGAGACTTTAGACTCATCCTCTGAGGCAGCAGCCTTTCTTATCTCACGGCACAGTAACTGTTACTAACATTCTGCGGCACACCAAAAAATATATATATTTCTTTTTGGCCGACCTGACCAAATAAATAGGTGTTCTGACTCATTTTCCCTGAAGAAACTAAAGTGGCTCCCAAATATATCTGTCGTGACTTCTTCATATGAGTGCGAAATAGGTACTGTTGTTGTTTAATATACTAGTTTATATTTTTATTATTGATTCAGAGAGGAAGGGGGTGGGAGAGAGATCTAGAAGCTTCAATGATGGGAGAGAATCATTGATGGGCTGCCTCCCACACGCCCCCTACTGGGGATCGAGCCTGCAACCCGGGCATGTGTCCTGACCGGGAATCAAACCGTGACCGCCTGGATCATAGGTCGACGCTCAACGCCTGAGCCACGCCAGCCGGGCAGGACTCAGTATTTCAGAGACGCACTCTCTCTAGTGACTTTACGCCCGTGGGCGCCTGCCCCTGCACAGTGGCTGCCATAGTCGGATTGTTATGTCCACGTAACCGATGAGGACATTGAACACGGGAGGTCAGAGAGCTGAGGGGGCCTTCCCAGGGCCGCCTGGGGCCGAGGTTAATGAGCCCACTGAGGCGCAGCTCTGAATTGTTGGCGAGTCAGGCACGGAAGCATGAAACTGGGAGGCCAAGGGCGTGAGCAGGGGGCACACTGTGCCTCTCTCCTGTCCATCAGCAGCCCTGAGCAGCCCCCTTGCCCGCCCTCTGCCGTCTGCACAGGATTTCTCAGCATCGACTGCACTTATCAGCGGTTCTCAACCTGTGGGTCGCGCCCCCATTGGCGGTCGAATGACCCTTTCACAGGGGTCGCCTAAGACCATCTGAAGACACAGATAGAATTACATATTGTTTTTGTGATGAATCACTATGCTTTCATTATGTTCAATTTGTAACAATGAAATTGGGGGTCACCACCACATGAGGAACTGTATTAAAGGGCCGCGGCATTAGGAAGGTTGAGAACCAGTGGCTTAGAATAAGGCCTTGAGGTGGGCTTTATGCTCCCACATTTGATGATCGGGAGACGCACCCCGGTCTGACTGTGGTTTGACTCCAGAGCCGCAGCACCCCTCCTTCTGAGCGCCCAGCAACCGGTGCCAGTGGCCGGATGCCAGCCCCGACGCCCCCACGGCCTGGGACAGAGGGTCCTCCGAGCCTTTGAACATCCTCAGCCCTGAGGGGAATGTTCCAGACGTGGGTGTGTGGCTATTAAGGCTCCCTTTACGCTTCAGCCACCGTCTTGAACTGCCTGCAGAATATTTCCTATTAATATCCACATCGTGATCCAAGCGGACTCATTACCGTCCCAGAACATCAGTCCATATCAACTCCTCGCATTTGCACAAAATCCTTTACAGCTCAAAGAAGTGAGCCATGCAGATGGCATGGATGGTCGGGGTCGGGCGGGGCCGGGGGGAGAGGGATGCATTGCAGGGCGGAGAGAAGCGCAGGTGCAAAGGCCCTGAGGCTCAGCCAGCTCAGCTGGTGCAGGAAACAGTGAAAAGGTTAGTGTAGCTGGCGCCGATCCAGGGAAGGGAACGTGAGGGCCATGGTGTGGACTGTGGATTCTGTTGTAAACCTGATGGGGAGATTTGAATGAATGATGCCACCTCCCCCCACTGTATCCCTCCCGTGGTTTCCAGCTGTGTTGAGAATATAAAGAAGGCTCTGGCCAAAACCGGTTTGGCTCGGTGGGTAGAGCGCACCCCAGCTCCCCTAGTATCTACCTAGTATTTACCATATCTACCTAGTATTTCTCTGCTTCCAGGTCTCCGTTTACACATCGTTTTACGGAGGGAGAAAATGTTGGAAACTGGTCATTTTAACAGTACACTGTAACATGCCCTCTTAGAAGTAAGGAGACTAACATTAGACCAAGTAGGGACTCTGCACTAATCCATTCTTCATGTCTTTGCTCAGTCAGATATTTAAATTACTTTACGAGAGACTGCTCAAAGTGAAATTTCTTATGGCCTCCCCTGTTCTCAGTCTTCATGGCAATGATCACAGTTCCATGTGGAGTTATTCGTTTGTCTCTGGTTCATTCACTTCCTGTCCGTGCCCTTCGTAGACAGCCCAGGGAAGGCAGGGACCACGCCCGGTTCACACGCTGCTCTACACTCACCCTCGAGCCCTGCACCCCACGCAGTGGAAACGCTCAATAAACATCTGTGTCTGATTGAGACCATGAGGACACGCACCAAGAGAGAGAGACCCTGCCAGCAGGGTGGAGGAGTGGACAGGGCAGAGACTGGAGCCAGGGGATCAGGCGGGGAACGTGACAGCAGCGTAGGGAGAGATGGTAAAAGCCTGAGGTTGGTCAGCAGCAGCAGAGGCAGGGAGGGAGGAATGGAGGCTACAGCTGTTCAGAAAGTAGAAGCAGCTGGATTTGGTGACTGATAGGGCACAGGGAGGGGACAAGGAGAGGAGAGCCTTACTTTGGGGGTGATAGCTTGAGAGATTAGGGAAAGCATTGTCTTGGTCTTTTCCGGCTGCTGTAGCAGAAATACGGTAGACCAGATGGCTCATAAACAGCAGACATTTATTTCTCCTGGTTCTGAGACTAGGAAGTCCAAGGCCATGGCCCTGGCAGATTTGATGTCTGGCAAGAAGTCACTATCTCCTTATTGTCCTCACAAGCGACCAGGGAGCTCTCTAGGATCTTTGCTAAGGGCACTAATCCCATGCAGGAGGGTCCCACCCTCATAACCTAATCATCTCCCAAAGGCTCGACTTCCTACTACCATCATCTTGGGGGTTAGGATGTCAACATATGACTTTTGGGGAGACACAAACACTTAATAGCAAACATAGTGCAATGAAATTAAATAAAGGGGGAGGGGTGCCAACCGGTGTGGCTCAATGGTTGAGTTTTGACCTTTGAACCAGGAGGTCATGGTTTGATTCCCAGTCAGGGCACATGCCCAGGTTGCAGGCTCGATCCCCAGTGTGGGGCATGCAGGAGGCAGCCAGACAATGATTCTCTCTCATCATTGATGTTTCTCTCTCTCCCTCTCCCTTCCTTTCTGAAAGAAACAATATTTTTTTAAATAAATCAAGTAAAGGGAGGAGGATAAGATATTTGAGGCTACACATCAAATGCCAGATGTTGGACTCTAAGGTGCTTGATCCAGAAGGACATGTCCAAGAGGTAGTTAAAAAGGAGATTCTAGCCCTAACTGGTTTGGCTCAGTGGATAGAGCATCGGCCTCTGGACTCCGGGGGCATGGGTTCAATTCCGGTCAGGGGCATGTACCTTGGTTGTGGGCACATTCCCGGGGGGGTGGGGGGGCGTGCAGGAGGCAACTGGTCGATGTTTGTCTCTCATCGATGTTTCTGGCTCTCTATCCCTCTCTCTTCCTCTCTGTGAAAAATCAGTAAAAAAAAAATTTTTTTTTAAAAAAGGCGATTCTGCTACAGAATTTTAGTGAACAGTTTATGGCTGGACATGTCTGTTCTGAACAACGATACCATTGGGCTGACATTCATAATGTGCTTAGCGCACAGTAGGTCCCACACCAACCCTAGAGGCAGCATCAAACAGGGGCCAAGAGCCCAGTGTCCAGAGTTAGATTGTCAGGGTTCAGTTACCAGCCCCACCACTGACAATGTGCGTGGTCTTCAGCAAGGCTGCTTACGCTTCCTGTGCCTCGGTTTCCCCATCTACCAATGGGGGTAATAATAGAATCCAGGGCCTTGGGCTATTATCAGCAGTTTAACCCATTTAGAGCCCTGTGTGTGGAGCTCAGTGAGTATTACCTGTTCTGTTCTAGGATCTCAGTGAGTCATCACAGTAGATGGGGTGGCAGGCATGACATCAAACTTGGGTGTTGGTGGAAGAGGAAAGGCACCCACGGGTGCCCAATTATTTTTCCTTCCCTCAATCCAGCAAGAAGAGGCTGGCCGAGATGAACGGATGGTCCACTTACCTGCTGGGATGGACGACCTTCCTTCTCTACTCCTGTGAGACACATGGGGGTGAGTGTCCTGGGACATGACGGGGAGGATTGGGAAACTGGAAAAGATGAAGGGGCCGCAGTAACGACTCCTGAATCCAAGAAGGCTTGGTAGGAACCTCAGGCAGACCTGGGGCTTGGACCCGTCTGCGCTGTGTGGCCTTGACCAAGCAAGGCAACCTCTCTGAGGTCACCTCTCAGCTTGTTGAAGAGGAGCAGTGGCGCTTACTTCGTGGGGCTATTTTGAAAACTAAATAGAAAGAAAGAAAGAAAGAAAGAAAACTAAATAGGATAGACACGAGGCTCATCCAAGATGCTCAGTATATGGTAGGGGGAATGCAAATACGATATTCATTTAAAGGGGGGGCTCTAGCCCTGGCTGGTGTGGCTCAGTTGGCTGGAGCATCGTCCCCTGCACCAGAAGGTCATGGGTTTGACTCCCAGCCAGGTGCATACCTAGGTTGCAGGTTCAATCCCAGTTGGGGTGTATAGGGGAAGGCAACCAGTTGATGTATCTCTCTCACATTTATTCATTCTCATTCTCTCTCTCTCTCTCTCTCTCTCTCTCTCTCCTTCCCCTCCTCCCTCTCAAAAATAAGTTAAATTTTTTAGAAGGAGGGGGCTCTATCATTTCAATTGCCTGAACCGTCAGACTCCCATTACATTATTTTTAACTTAATTACAGAACTTAAACATTCCCTTTACACTATTTTTTTAATTGTAGTAAAATACACAGAACATAAAGTTTACCATCTTAATCACGTCTTAATCAGCTGAGTAGTGTTAAGTACATTCACATTGCTGGGCAACCAATATCCAGGACTCTTCTCATTTTGTCCTCATTAAACAACTTCTATTCCACGCCCCCACCTCCCAGACTGACAACCACCACTGGACTCTCTGTCTCTATGAGTTCAGCTGCTCTAGGTGCCTCACAGAAAGGGACTCATGCAATATTCGTCCTTTTGTGACTGGCTTACCTCACTCAGCATAATTTCCTCCAGGCTCATCCATGTCATAGCATGTGTCAGCATCTGTTTTCCTTTCAAAGACGAATAATATTCCACTGTCTGCATAAACACCACATTTAGTCTCTCCATCCGCCCATCGATGGACACTTGGGTGGCTTCCACCCTTTGGCTTTGGCAAGTAATACTGCCATGGACCTGGGTGAACAAACATCTCTTTGAGGTCCTGCTGTCTGTTTTTTGGGGCGTGTGCCCCGAAGTGGAACTGCTGGGTCATACAATGATTACATATTTTTTAATTTTCTTTGAGAAACTGTCATACTGTTTTCCACAGCAGCCGTACTATTTTACATTCTCACCGACAGGGCACTAGTGTTTCGATTTCTCCACGTCCTTGCCTGCACTTGTTATTCTCTGCCTCTTTTTCCATAGTAGCCAGTCTAGTATGTGGGGGGCTACGCTCTTTATTTTATTGTCTAAAGTTCTACATATGTCTCCTCTTTCTGCAATTGACCCCCGCACCCCCCCCCGCAAGCTATTCCCATCCAGCACAAGCCCCCACAGCCCCAGTGTCTGTGTCCATTGGTTATGCTAATATGCATGCATAGAAGTCCTTTGGTTGCTCTCTAAACGCCCCCCATCCCGACCATTTGTCCCTTCCAACCAACTGAGCCACCCAGCCAGGGTAGCTACACCCTTAATGTATCTAGGAATCGAAATTAGCCACCCCCCAAAATTTTTAATTAATTAACCACCCAAAGATTGTACGGTCAGCATAGTGAGACCTTGATTATCTAGGTAATCATGCAAGTTATGGCGAAACATTCTCGACAGTTAGAATCCTTTTCTGCCTGGCACGTCCTTGTCCCTTGACTAAAACTCAAAAAACACTCATACTCATGCACTTTAATTCCATGAAGTCATTTTTCTTTTTTTAAAAAAATGTATTTTTATTGATTTCAGAGAAGAAGGGAGAGGGAGAGAGAGAGAAACATCAATGATGAGAGAGAATCCTTGACCGGCTGCATCCTGCATGTCCCCTACTGGGGATTGAGCCGGCGTGTGCCCTGACCAGGAATCAAACCATGACCTCCTAGTTCATAGCTCAAAGCTCAACCCTTGAGCCACGCCAGCCAGGTCCATGAAGTTCCTTTTCAATGATCACATTCTATATTCCAGAGATTCCTAACTTGGGGCCACTAGGCAAGCACTCGTGTCCATGAGACCCTGGATTTGTATTTTAAAAAGTATGCATGTATCAGGGTAGTGAGAACAGCTATTGTAACAAACTCCAAAGTATCAGAAGCTTCACCCAAGAGCATTTTATTTCTTGCTCCTATGAAATGCAATGAGGGTGCATCGAGTTGGCAGGGACCCAGCTTCTTTCATCTTGGGGATGACCATCCCCAAGGACTTCAGAATGCTCTGTGGATTCTTTGCTGATAGACAAAGACCAAGAGAGTCTGGAAGACTTTGGAGGAAAGCCTATGTTTGGCCAGGCCAGGAAGTAACATCCATCACTTCTTCCCATTTCCACCAGCCAGAACTCACATGATACTTAGCTGCAAGGGAGTCTGGGCAGTGTAGTTCAGCAGTGCATTTGGGAGGAAAATGAAGCTGGTTTTGGTGAACACACTGCAGTCTCTACCAGAAGGGCATACGAACCTTTTCCTAGAGAGAAGGTCTGGTTTCTTGAAACAACAGACAAGTCCCCAAAAGGTTAAGAACCCAATTTATTCACACAGGGAACAATGTGCTTGATTAAATGTCAGCCTTTCCACTTATGGGTCTCATTCTGGTCAGCCATGCCTTCCTGAGCCCACACCCACATTCCAGTGCTGAAACTCAGTACCCCCAAATCCCCCTCCACACGTATTCATAAACTCATTTATTCCGTACATACTTGTTGAGTGATTTCTAAGTGCCGGTCACAATACTACAGGCCAGACACACAGCCATAAATAAAAGCCAGGCTTTGCCCTCATCAGTTTGGCTCAGTGGATAGAACGTTGGCCTGTGGACTGAAGGGTCCCAGGTTTGATTCTGGTCAAGGGCACATGCCAAGGGTTTCAAGCTCAATCTCCAGTAGGAGGTGTGCAGGAGGCAGCCAATCAATGATTCTCTCTCATCATTGATGTTTCTATCTCTCTCTCCCTCTCCTTTCCTCTCTGAAATCAATAAAAATATATTATTAAAAAAAAAAGGTGGCCAGACCTTACATTCAGAGAGCTCACAGTGAATAGGAGTGATAAATGCAAACGCAAATCATTATATTCTTTTAAAAATTGGTGAGTACATTTCCAGAGATCGGCTCAGAGTACTATACGAGTAAAGCAGAGTATTAATCTAGACTGGACCAAGTCTTCATGGGGGAGGAGCAGGGGGTAAAGCTAGGAAGAGAAGAAAGCCACTCAGGGCAGGATGGAGGCCGTGAGCAAAGCCCCCAGAGGCAAGCAAGAACGTGGAGTAAGGTCAAGGTGATGTCCATCGGGGCGCGAGAACAGAGAGGTCAGCGGGGCCTGGATTACGGAGGATTTTAACCCAGTTAAGAAGGTTAGACCATCTGCCGGACTACTTTGCAGATGGCTAATAGGGTCTGTTATGTGCTGATTCTTACTCACAGCTCCCAAGGATAGCCTTAATGCTGTGTACAGGGGGCACCTGCCTGCCTCCCCCTCACCACCAGCACCCCATTGACCCAGTGCTGCCCATCATTGAGGAAAGTCACTGGTGACCATGACAATGACAGTGATGATGATGATAGCTGGCATTTGTGGAGCAGCTGCCACGCTCCAGGCACCCTGCTAATAAGTACTTCCTAAATCTTAACTCTTTAAACTTGGCAAAAAAACCCCAAGACCAAACAGTTCTGAGACCCAGAGGTAGGAAATGCAATATTGCTAAGGAACCTTAGTTGTACGCACCCATTGGGGAGGCTCAAAGATGGGGTTCTACCTTTTCCGTTCTGTCCCAAAACATTCCTTATCCCTGTCATGGTCATTGCCAGATTATCCAGGGCGAGGGTCTGATCCGCAACAAGAGGGGGCTACTAGGTTGAAGATAGGGGCTTGTGTCTTGTCCGCCTGTATGAGTAACAGACTAACTGTTATAACAAACAAGTCCCGAATGTCAGTGGCTGAACCAAGTAGGGGTTCAAGTCGAACTCATCTGATTCAGAGACACCGGGTCCTTCTGCTATGTGGCCCCACCATCCTGGGGTGGGGGGTGGGGGGGAGGGAGTCAGCGTTCTCTACCAGCACCTCTTTATCAAAGTTTCTAAGCCTTGGCCCTACTGACATTTGGGCGGATGACTCTTTGCTCTGGAGGGCTGCCCTGTGCCTGGCGAGATATTTAGCAACATCCCTGGTCTCTACCCAGTAGTTTCAGCAGCACCACTACCAGTCCCCCTTCCCAGTTGTAACC